GGACAGTACCCAACTGAATGCGCTAGGAGAACATCATATGACTCATATAGGTGTTTTCCGTTTACCAAAATGTTTTTTTTTTTTTTTTTTTTTAAATCACCCCGGTCAATGTGCACGACAGAGAAAGCTTAGCAGAAAAAGGTGTTACTCTCCAAAGGCAAACCCAGCAAGTAACAATTTTATCTTTCTGAACTGTGTTTGTTACAGGGAAAAAAAAAAACGATTTGCTTTCCATGAGGTGTGTAGGAGGATTTATTCTCAAACGACGGCTGAACGGAGGAGGATGTACACACAGGAGAAGAAGCGTGTTCCCTCCTATTGATGTATGGCTAACCTTTAGCCTAGCTGGTCCCGCTGCAGACTTATAATCATAATTAAAGCCCAGCTCTGACATCCCCATCGCCAATTCGCCAATATCCCCCCCATCCATCACTTCCTCTCTATTCCGACTCATTTCCTGAAGTGCTACTTGCAGTTGGGTTTTAGTGGTAACGCGACGCGGCCGTAGATGATAATCATGCTAATCTAATGAAATGTCAAGCACATTAAAATTAGCGAAAAATTGTCCAAAGACAAGCACGACAGACTCTCAAGCCCAGACAGGGTACCATCTGGTTACTGTTAGGTGTCGAGTGCTCTGTGATTCGGATGGGCTTTTAAACTGCTGTGAAATCGGAGAGCCTGGTGGGTGAACGTTCCCTTTAAGCCAACCGGCCTGGCTGCAAAGATCTTCACCTGGACCTGAAAGTTCACCGACCGTCATCCTAGTTGTAGCTGCTTTATGACCAACGCCAACCCGGCCTCAGGGCCATGAGATTATCAGCTGCTGCTCCTGCCTTTCAAACCTGAGTCTGCAGAACCATGCTTGGCATTTGTACTGAAGGTCAGTTACTGGTACAAAACTGCTCAGAGTGTCACATGGGTGGACCACTGCCTTCTGGGATACAAGACGACTGTCAGGCAGCTGCTTCTGTGGGCCTTGTGATGTTCTCTTCTGCTATTGGCTCATGGGGAGTAAGGATAAAACGAAGCTGGCATTCCTGCCCAGAGACAACGAGTAGAAAACCAGCAGCCAGCACCCGCCAAGTCAGCCCAGTGACCTCAATATAGCCTCCCAGTGATGTCAATACCATTGCACAGAGACCTTGGCCCACGCTCAAGGGTGTAACTTTGGTTTGAACATTGGGAAGGATTGAGAATCTCCTTCCACCTCTCATTCTTCCAACCTCGTTCCAACCTTTGACCCCTTGAAAACTGAATTAGTGACAGAGGAGAGGAGTGTGATTGACTCTCACTCTCGACTTCTGCTCAGACTACTATTAAAACTAAGGAAGGGGGAGTGTTTTCTGAGCCTTAAATGAGAAGTCGCTCATATCATACAGCGTAGCCTTTTCTGGCGTGTGTGGCGTGGACTGGCCTAATGTACAAAAATGTCCCAGAGAAAGAATTAATCCTCTTGAAAAACCTTGAAGTCCACAATCCACTGGAAACTGACACTATGCCAAAAACCTTGTTGGTGACGTTCATTTGGGATGGAATTAAAAGTCATAATTTTATGATTTTGATGCATATTTCAAAACCGAGGCCGCCCGTGCGTTTTCGCACAACATGCGGCTGATTGATAAGCGCCGGCCTGTACGCGTGGTGCAGATTCAGGACAAGCGTGAAGGTTTCGCCGCAGAGAGCCAGCGCGGTTTGCTTTCCTCTCATGCTTTGTGGGTGTCTGATGTCAGACTGCAGTTTTGAAGGAAACGGCTAGCATGAGGCCCCTGTGGCTGCAGAAAAAAAATCCCCGTTCGCTCTCTCTCGAGCAGCGAGAACGCCGCGCTGTGCACTAGCCTAGCGGAGAGCGTGGGTATGAACACCCAGGCTCTGCCAGTGACTCACTGCTTCACAGCACCAATCTGGGGCTGAAGTTCTACACAATTACCTAATGTGCGATAAGAGCCCGTGTGTGAGAGTGTGTGTGAGAGCGTGTGTGCGCCCTGGAAGCTTTTGCATGGGCATTAGCATTTTCCAATATGGGAGGAAACCCTATGATGCCGTGCGCGGCTCACCCTTACATAGGAACAGGACTCAAAGACTCAATCAGCCAGGTGGATACTCGACCTCTACCTGGGCAGGCTACAGCTTCTGCTTGCAGCTTCCTGGTGTCTGCTCTTCATGCTGTGCATGGAGCACGGAGGTCTCATCACATGTCTTTGTGTGTGTGTGTGTGTGTGTG